CTCCAGCTGAGCTTCACACTGAGGCCTCAGCAGATGCTTCAGATCAACCAGTGAGTCACTGCTTAAACTGCACATTAAGAGCTGCTCCCTCCTTAGTAACACTCTTGTTGGCATTTATGAAAACATGACGCATGAATTTTATTCTGGACCTTGTTTTCTTGTCATGCTTTTTGAGCACAAAGCTGTTGTATCATAATTTATTTATGTCACACCTTTGTGGGACTGGCAGAAGGGAAATCTGACTGAAATCTGAACTAGTTGTACTTGAAAACAGTGGATGGAATTAGGATCTGTTTGATCAGTATGTCAAAGTGAAATCAGATCTCTACAAGTGGTCTTTTAAATATTATTTTTACCCCCATCATGTCGGTATTTAGTTGTGGTTGCAGTCACAGCCTTGAGTCTGTGTCTCTATAAGCTCTCCACATCTGGTTCCAGCAGTTTTCCACCATTATTCAGTGTAAAACCACCTGTCTGACAACAGAACTGGTTTGTAAAAAGGGTTACAAAACTGCATTTAGGGGCCTTCACTAATTGTTACCGTCATTGTTGCCACCTGGATGTTGATGTGAACTTTCATTACAAGTTGGAAACTCAAAATTATGTTAATTTCAATGTGATGTCAGAGCAGCATAATGGTGGACATGTCTCATTATCTTTCTCACATGTACTCTCTTTAAATTTCTATATCAGTGACCTAGCTGTACATAGACTTCACTTCAGTTTTCAGTTTATTAGGTGCACCAGGCTAAATGAGTGTTACTATTATTTTGTCCACGCAATTTATGTCGGTGAAGCTGGGCTAAATAACAGAAACCTCTGTATAATGCAGCACAGTCCAATTGCAGACCAAACTACAGCCTCAAATGATCACACAGCTGAATCAACACCTCTGTGACAGTTTCGGTGAAAACTGAGGATTGTTAGGCTGACACAGTTTTAGTTAGGTGTACCTAACAAACTGCCAACTGCGTGAATGTCTGAGAAAGGGCCTTTATTTTTATAAAACTCTCACCGATTTGTTATCTGACTCAGAAAAATACACGTCACGGTAAAAGAAGTGAATACTTCAATTATCAATTTCTGTATGACAGCTTGATTTATTGAGATCTGGTTCCTCTTTAGCGCTGAAGTTCTGTTTCCTACTTGCATCCACTGTGATTCAGTGTTGTGAATGATCAAACTAAAAAAGTTGAGCAAGGTTGAACACTTTTTGTAAGCAGTGTATATGTTGACAGTCAAAAAATGAATTCTTCATTTGCTGGAAATGAGCTGATGGTCAGTGTAGGTTAGTTGTCTTTGAATAATAAATGTAATGCACCCATAAAGTAATTCAACCAAACAGCTGGCAGCCAGTGCCTTCTGCAGCCTCTGCTCCGTGTGAAAACCCAGTCCTCATCCCGTACACGTAAACCAGATGACTGACTGCATCATCTGTGACAGGAAAAGTTGTGAGCCTAAAATTTCTCCCGGTAAAGTGAGGAAAGAAGCTAACATTTTTGTTAAGGAATTTTATGAAGCTATCCTGGTTGAAATACTACTGTAAATAGAGATGTAATTAAAGGCAAAGCAAATAAATACACCTTTTGAAAAATACCTCTTTGACCGTGTTGGTGCTAATTTGTATGTTATGCATGTACTACTAACAGCTCATAGCTCTGTCTTAAGCATTCTCCTGAAGAAACCGTTTTCTGGACATGGAATGAAAAACTTGTGAATTGTTTTTTTTTTTCTTTTTAATAATCTTTATTGGTGCTTTTTGGTTTTTATTTAATCATGTCTTAATGTATATAATCAAACATTAAAAGCCCATATGGAGTTCATCTAGCCAATCTTCATATAGCTTACTGCTTACAAAGAATCTGTACTGATACTAGTAATGCTTTATATTCCAAATATTGTAGCCTATTATAGGAATTCCACTGTGGCTGTTGCAGACACCACCAGGTGTCACTGGTCACCAGTAGCTACATAGGGTTCACCAGTGTGATTGCATTTGCTGCATTGAACTGTGATAGACATGAGCCATTTCCATGGTAGTTTCTCTGATAATATGGGTTTGTCTACATGTATGTTTTCACGTAGCTGGAAATTATACTTCCTAAAATGTTCACACAAATTTGTCCGCCAAGGAAAAGTGCACTGTAGTATGGAAATACTCTTTGTATCTCTCTGCATAATGCAGTGCAGTTCCACAGAATATTAAACTACATCTTCCCAATATGATCATACATTTGGATCAACAACTCTAAAGCCAGGGGAGATTCGTTAGGTCTTTCTCAATAATAACAACAACAATAGTTTTAGTAGTTGTAAAGTGTCCTGAGATTATTTTTGTTGTGATTTGGCGCTATACCAATAAAATAGAATTAAAATAATTTGAGTAAAAACTGAACATGATAACCTTTATAAAGGAGGATTTATTGTAGACCTAGGACTGATATGACTGCATTAGTTTTTGTCATAAGCATGTTACCTATATCTGAAAGTGTCTCCATAATGTCTTAATTAGATGACCAGTTAATTTACTGGGCCAGTTTGTGGTGGTTTGCTGGTTTACTTCCGCCAAAATATGACAGTCAGCAACATGAAGCAGTAAGTTTGAATTTAGGGGATTTAAAAACAGCCATATTTTGGCGATGTGCACAGTTTCAGAAGGTGTGAGTCGTGGTGACCGGACCGCCCATGTAGGCTACACCCGTGCCCATGAGCAAGCTTCAACTACAGTCTTTAAATGGGGGTTGGCACTTATGGAAGATAGCATCGTGTATAGGATCTAAACTGCAAACTTGCTCGCGCTCACCCAACCCTCTCTCCATCCCCGCGTGAGGAGGGAGGAAGGGTGCTCACGTGCACACGCCGCGCGCCCCCATTCAGTTGCACAGAGGGTGCAATACATAATTCAGTCCCAGTAAGGGGGTACCTCAAGTCTCTCCCCCTCCTGTGAAACCGCGGAGCTGCAGCCCCTCCACGCCCCGTGGACCGAGACGCCGATGCATCTGTTTCCTGCTCCTGGGCGGATGGAGAATCAACCTTGGAGAAGGACGAATGCTTTGTTGCACGTTGTGCATGACTTCCAGCGGCTGAGGAAGCACAGGGCAGAGCGAGGAACAGACAGTCAGTGGTGAGCTACAGAAGACGGACCGTAAACATTGCCATGCCCTGTTCGTGCAGCACCTCCCTCCGATCCGCTTCCTCCTCTGGTCCGGGACACAGGGCTCTGTTGTAGAGAATAACAGCAGAGGAGACGGATCATTACGCTTTTGTCGGAGGTAAATATTTTGGAGATGTGGTGAAGTTGTGTTCGGGATAGGAGGCTGCGGCGGGCCACGGTCTGTACTGTAGGTATCCTGCATCCTGACTTTGCTGTGTCCGTGTTTTGCGGCCATGCTGCAGGAAACATCCCCCCAACTGTTTCCTACCTGAACCTCACTCTCTGGGATTAACAAGTTCCAAGCAGAAAACTAGTAGTCCCACCTCTTGTTTGTTTTTGTATTATTTTGTATTCTTGAACCATTATTTCTATTTTGTAACTGTATGATAATGAACATTTTTACAAGCAGTTTTCAAGTTTAATGTTCACAGTGCTTCACATCTCAGTCTTTTAGAAAGATGTGATCAGCAGCAGACAGTTTAATGAGCAAAGTATCACAAAACAATCGAAGCTGCCTCTACATGACTGCATGGTGGGACCACTCTTGCTGTTATCACAGTTCACATTAACACACCAACATGGGTGGAAAGCAGACCAAAGGCCAGGAGCCTGGAGGAGCCAGCCCTCAGCACAGCTGGAAGCGGACACCCACCAAGGAGCGGGGAGACATCTTGGCCTCCTTCATGCTGAAGGACCGGCTGACCCGTGGCGGGACGCCGCCGCCGCCCTACCAGCGTCGCATCGGCATGATCCAGGAGATGATGCTGATGGCCAAGCAGGGCAAGCAGGATGAGGCCACAGAGATGCTCAAGACGCTCCGACAGGTAGCTGCTCTGTGTGTGTGTTGGTGTGTGGGCGAGTGAGTAAAGCCTTCAAGGGTCACAGGTTCACATTTCTAGACAGACCACAGCATCCCTGTCTGTTTCCTTTCTCTTTCCTCTGTTCTTTCCTTCCTGTGTGAACATGTTGGTTCTTCCTCAGCCAAGCTCATGACTGATGCTAAAAGAGAAACCAGGCTCAGACTGACTGACTGTTGACACACTGATTCAGCGACCGACTGCCCACCACCGCGATGAAACGACCACCTCCCTGTCTGCATGACTTAACACAAGAAGTCCGTGTGTAGCAGGCTGGACCTGATGTGCTCAGCCTGGCTCTGCTGCACTGGTACAGTGTGTTGACTGCTGTGATTCATAGCTTCTTTCTGTCTTTCAAGACATAGCACTTGGCCTGTTTCTCCACAGAAGAACAAAGGCTCACAGCACACTGAAAGAAGCTGGTCTGGTGAGAAACAGAAGGGAAGCAGGAAAATGAAAACACCACCAGTTGAAGTGGAGGATCAGTGTGTAACAGGACTGAAATTATGTGATGTTAATATGAATGTATGTTTATAGTTGTGATAAGAAAGAAACGAGCTACTTTAAGAAGATGGAGAGGGAAGATGCAGGCCTATAATGCCTCATCCTATAGATAGCCCTGCACAGAATCCACATAGGATGAGTCAACCATAGGAAACAAACAGAGCCTGCTTTCAGAGTTTGTTCTTTGGACATTTCCAGCTGCAGCTTTCTGTCATGAAGTCCAGTTTTATGAAATCCATTTAGATTGTTAATCCTTGAGTCAGTGGCAAGCAGTTGGGCAAAGCAAACCGGCTCAAATATGGAGGACACCTCTCTATCCAGCCTCATTAAAACAGGGGGATCACAGTCTCTTCCGCTGCTTCATTAAGCTGTGACACCCCAGAGCAGAACAACAGTTTCCAGTCTGACAGTGAAGGCACAACAACACAGTGTGGTTAGACTCCTTTACACTGATGGATGGTGAGACGATTGGCTCCTGGGCACAGACATGTATGGAGCAAGAGGCCCAGATTGAAAGAGATGAAAAATGAGCACAAGCAACACAGCAGTGGCCATTTTTTGTCCATTTGCAGTGATTTATTGGTCTTGTTGTAACTGTTTTCTGTATCTTTACAGTATTTTGTGGCACTTTGAGGTAGTTTTGTATCTGTTTATAGTTGTTTTGAGTCTTCTTCTATGACTTCTTGTAGTCATTTTGTGTCTTTCCAGTATTTTTGTGACTGGGTAGTTGTTGTGGTTTGATGTTTGGTCATTCTGTGTTTATTTATAGTCATTGTGTGGGTTTTTGTAGTAGTTCTTTGTCCCTTTGGAGTTGTTTTTTGTCTTTTTCAGGTAATTTCCAGTAAGAAATATTAATACTCACTTCAAACAGAAGCCCAGGCCCAGGGCCTTCTGAAACCCATGGGCCCCTGGCCCTGTGCACAATAGGCCCATTTAGCAATCCATCCATACTCCATCCTTCCTAGTAAAGACAGCCTGGTTTCTCGGTCAGTAGATGTAGAGGCTAAAACAAACCTGGAGAGTTTTAAACATGTCTAAAATGTTCCTTATAGTCCTGGAAATATAGGCAGTTTACTGCCTAATCAGCATAAAAGTCCAGTCTGTGGACAAAATACCAAACAGTCCCTGGTTTCAGTTTTAAGTGTGACGATTTGCTGCATTTCTCTCAGTTTGTTTTTGATTATTTTGCTGAATATCCAGGTTTTTACTGTTGGTTGGACAAAAGCATTTTCAAGGTTTCACCCTGAGCTCTGCAGAGTGATGCCTGACGTTTCATAGAACAAATAAGGATTATATGTTAGTTGCAACCTTACCTACAACTACTGTTTCCGCAGCATTTAGTAAATGACCACATTTTAAGCACAAATTGAAACGTAGTTATTAAAATGCAGATGAATCAACAGTTCTGTAAGTTTGTTCTAATCCTGTGTAAAACATCAAATACACTTTTTAACAGAATCATTTTGGGAAATACACTTCATACAAAGACTGAGAAGAAGCTCAGTACCATCGTTGTGCCTAGCTTAGTATAAGTATTAGAAGCAAGGAGAACAGTTAGCCAAACTCTCTCCAGAGTTCAGCACCTAAAAACACCTGCAGAGTAACATGTTGTCACTGGTTTCTCTAATTTGTATGTTTTTTGTTTTTTTTTCAAGAAGCTAGTTTTTGAATAGATGTCTAACTGGTCATACAAGAACTTTAGACTCATTTTATAATTAGGCAAAGTTGGCAAAACTTTCATTTAAACCTGGAACAGTTTGAAAAAAGATTACACGTCATCAGAAATTTGATGCTTATTTGCTGGAGGTCATCCAGCTCTGACACCGAGGCTTCATATTCATCTGTACGAACTACCAGTAATACAAATGTGTTTAAAAATAAATTACCTTATTTTGTCAGGTATTTCTAACGGTGACAAAATAAGTACAGGTGGATATTTCCCACCTGACAGAAGAGCTTCTGCACTTAAAGGCACATTTATTCTACTGGAGGTTCATCTGAAGAGAGCAGCTTTAATAGTCAAACCACTGGCTCTAGAAAACATCTCTGTTCACTGAGGCATATACTGAGGCATTATTTGAAAACATCCACTCTATTGTGGTACCAGATACAGCTGCTGGGGGATTTGTAGTGAACTACAAAGCCTCTGTCAGTGGACGACTTATGCTTATAAGATATTTCCTAGACTCATCAGTGGGTCCGTTCTTCTTATGCTGGAACTTAAAACACAAACAGCATTGCACAGCAGTCCATGTGGCTTAGCTTTGATCCAGGGGAGTGTGTTCTGTGACCACAGAGGAGGAGGCGGCTCAAGGATGAACTGAGAAGGATGAAAACAGCATGTGTTACTTTATATTTGGCTCTTTTCCCCAAAGGTATTATAGATAACAGATTTTCACACTGGGTCAGGAAGACAAAATTGGATGAACCACATCAGTCACATTTGGCTTCATATTCTGGAGGTTTTGTGCTCTGAAAGAAGAGTACAAGACAACCAGACCACATGATGAATTGGATAAAGACAATTACTGAGGATAAAGAGAGCAGAGAGGGGGAAAGTGTGTGTTAAACTGCGACAGACACCAATGAGGAACACAGGAAGGAAAGAAAAGGTGGAGAAATGAAGAGACTGTTTGTCAAACATGAGAGTCACTGGTTACCACGTCCTCCTCTTCGTTGCTCGGAAACCGTGGGAATGGCCGGAAAGCTCCAGCTAAATAGACTGATTAATAATGCATAGGCTCTGTTAAGCGCGAACGGGGAAGCCACCTTCTTAAATTAATCACCTGCTCTTCAATTAACTTGTAGCATCACCTATCTATAACCATCAGTTCTGTGGAAACTTCTAGGGGCTCTAAATATATCCCTAGTGCTTTCCTTGGTGAAGGCTCATTAATAGCAGGGTAGCACCCAAAAGCACGACTCAGACAGTGGCACCTGCAGCCGTAATCCTGTCTGCGCCATGCGAACAGTTTTGAAAAATGATTTTGCTCAAGTTTTACACCACTACATCTGGTGGTCATTGTACAACCAGAGCATAGGATATATGGCCAGAGAAGCTACACACTGACTTGACCTGCTGTCAATAATGCCTTTAACATTATGGGGACATGCGCAGAGTTTTGTTTGTTGACCTACCTACCTACTTACTCACTTATTTATGTATTTATTCACGGCTCACGAGCTGCAATCATGTGTTATTTTGTAGGATAATTATTGTGCTAAGATTTAAATGTCAGATCAGTGATTTTCAAAGACCAGCTGGGACGCACAGGGCAATGCTGGTTACTGTGTCCAAAGTTGGTATGGGAGAGACGAAGCTGAACTGAATGAGCAGCTACTGCTCAAAGAGAGTGTGTGCAGGGCTCATGTTATTATGAGAAAATACTACAGAATATTGTTACAATGACAAAATAACCTATAGTATGTCGTTGAAACAAGAAAATACAGCATGTCTTAATAATATGAAAATGTTTTAACGTGAAGGTATCTCGTAAAAACGACTAAAGTATCTTGCTATAATGAGAAAGGTTTCTCTTTAAAACAAGATGCCCTAAGTTCTTGCGTGTGCTATGGAACATATTCCTGCAGGCGCCCCTGAAATCAGACATAGGTAAAGAGGAAGTTCATGTTTTCTGGAGGTTAATGTACAGGCAGATGTCAAGAGCAGGCAAGCAATCAAATGAGGGAAAACATACAGTCAAGAGGCAGGCTGTGATCAGGCAAACAGAATGAGAAGGCTGGAACAATAGAGGCGAGTGACGGTAGCTAGTATGCATATGTCATAATTTCAGGTCAAATAAGTGTTTGTGATGTATGGAGAAATACAGACTGCACACAACTGGTTCACCAGGAAATCGGTAAATGCTGCAAGTTTTCTTAACTCAATCATACATGCCACATAAGAATGAATCTACAGGAGGTCCATTGTCTTAGAATTTAGTAGTTTTCAAGTGAAAGTCTCCACACTATTGTCAGGGTTCAGTGTCCCCCAGAATTGTTGAACGTTATGGCATCAAAGACTTGTCCATCCTTTCCCATACTCCGAATTACACATCCTTCTTCTTTGCTCTTATTTTCATTTGAAGGGCAGTGTCTCTACATGGTGCTATTTGATTGATTCATTCAGCTTTGTTTTGGTTGCACTTTGAATCACAGTGCTGCGAGTGCTGCCTGCAGTCTGAACAGTCTGTTCCATCAGCTGCTAATTTAAGTTCTTTAAAGTATAATTTTCCTACAGAGATCAAATGGACCTTGTTCTAGCTTTTTGTATGCTGACATGAACTACACTAGGATGGCGAGGCATTGACACGATGTCATGAATTGCAACGAGGAAGGAGCTCTTTGAAAGCTATGCAGTGGAGACATTATTCCATAAGATGATGGAATAATGATGGATTGACGCCCTTGTCACATAATTTACAGGCGTGTTGCCACTTGGTCTAAATGTGCAGACTATTGCT